TCTTGCCCTAGAGTCTCCGAGGTATAAATGAGTAAGAGCTGCAATCAAACCATCCAACACATCTGTTTCAGGTGAGAAATAGAGAAGTCTATAGAATTAAAAGCTTCTTTTAAAAAACAAAAGAAATCATTCAGTTTATAACTTTTAAGATGGCAGAGAAAAGAACAGCAAAGGAAATGTAAACTACACTTCATCAGAACAGAAGAGAGGATATCAGAGCCATCAACTAGCAGATGTAAGAGCTAGAGCTGCTATTGATACGTGTAATAGGGAAGAATGGGTATGTGTTTTTCCCCCTGAACATGTATTTGTTTGAGTGAGGTGCTGACTGATGCTGCTTGGCAATTGGGTAATGTTATATGATCATGTCATTGATTTTAGGTTGTCATATAAGATTGTATAAGCCTGTCTGCAGGGCTGGATGCTGAGCAACATCATTGTAGTTATTACTGTAAAAAGTTTCTGCTTCTAGGAGATTCTTAGTCTGGAATTAATAGGTGTATCATTGAGAGTTCAGCATTGACTAACCTGTGGCAACAGAATCTATCTAGCAAGAAGTTGGGACTACAGGAGAACACTGACATGTTCTAGCAATGATTTCTTTTTCAGTTAATCACAGATACTAATGTTTTGCTGCCTGTTTTAAGGCAAAAAGACCTTTCCCCATACAATGAAGATACACTTACAGAATTGCTGATATTGAACAAAAGAACACTTTGAGTTTGGTTTTCCTGAAGGAAGAACCTGTAAAGTTTGCATACAGTTTTCACATATGAGTTCGTTCATGTCTGTACAGGGATAGTAAATCAGAGCAAAGAGAGAGAGTGCTGTGAAATGTGCTTTCTGCCTCTGCCACAATTGTAGACCATAAAATTGTTGCTAACTTTTAATGGCTCTACAGCCAGTGAGTCTTCTCCCCCAGTATATCTCCCTTAGTATGATGGGAGATATGAGAAATAAGTAAAGTAAAATGAAAACAGTATAAAAGAATCTTAATATGTATATTCAGTACTAGATGGTCAAGGTACAGACAGCACATATGCTTCAAAGAATTTTCTCTATAAAAAGTTTGCAAACTGCCAACATGTCAGAAGTAAAAATACTAAAACTTGTTGCTAGGTACACTGAGTGCTGTTAAATGGTACAGTCCTAGTCTTCAGAGTTATAAATCCTGTGTAAATGAACTGATAGAGTTGGCAGCTATAATACATCAACTTGATACTGATTTAACCATTATTGTTAAGTTTTTCTAAGTAAAAAATGGGGAAAAAATATAAGGGGATATAAGGGCTTGGAACAGTGAGAGGTAGGCTCTGAGCTATAGTGCTTTGGTACACTGCAGATGGCAGATAGGATTTGGCTAAACAGACCACAGAATCCGTACTGGATTCGGTCTGTTAACCCCAGGCTGGCTTCCGAAGTTTGGGATGCAAGTGTCTTCTGCAAGAAGACCGTTACACTTCATGGAGAGGGCTGGAGGCCAGGGGAAGGGAAAAGAAGAGAATGGTGTATGTATGATATATGGGTGTGAGCATTGTAGAGATTTCAAATCCTAGGAAGAGAGCCCCATCTAAATATCGGATTCACAGATATGTATGTGGGACACAACTGTTTTTATCATGCTGGATATATTCTGGATCAGTTGTAAAAAGAGCTATGCAAATAAGTAGCTCCAAGCACAGTGACTGACTAACTTAAACTGATTTCCGCTGCATTTTTATTGAGATGACTGACATTTTAATTAAATTATATAAGGGTTGTTTGCAAATGCACCTGCAAGGCTCCTAACAGCATTGCTCCCCACCCATTCACCCTATTCATAGCTTTTTAATGTCCCCGGTGTTTTCCTGTAACAGCTATTGTTTCTTCTCTCTGCTGTTCCCTGTCATTGATCCACCATCACTTACTGTGCCATCCAACAAAGAAACTATACAGGCAATTGCCGATAATCTGGCTAGAAGTATGTGCCGGCTGGCTGGCTGCCCCCCAGCTGCGGCCTGCCCGCCTCTAAGGAAGTCAGACCTGTAGGTTTGGGTGTTGCCTGTGGGGTTTTGTCATATGTTGCAAAGGTCCATTGTAAGAACTTATTTGAAAAAAAAAAAAAAAATCTGCTTTTGTAGCAGGCCTACAGGTTCCAAAGTTATTAATAGGGGGTTGACAGAAAGACAGAACAAAACTTTGTTTTCTGACAAAAGCAGGTTAAAAATAAAAAACATGTAAAAAAATTGACAATTTTTAATAATAGTGACAATATGAATTTCTAGAAATACTTTCTAGCCATCTCGGTATGTGGGGAACCAGAATTTGTTGACGCTTTCCTAGTTAATCTCAAAGAACAGATGTGTTTCTGAGCTAGCACTTCCCCTATGCTGTGATGATACAGAGGACTGATCTTCTGATACTCTGCTAGTGTTCCAGGAATACACAGTTCTGAAAACAGTGCTCCTTTCAGTTTGAGGAACAATGGGCAGACTGCTTTTTGTCAAGTTTGTCTTTTATTTTAATAATATTTTTTTTCTTTAGGGTGGAGTTTTAATGTTTTGATGTCAGAATGAAGAGCAGGATACCTCTCATTCTTCTAGCTTGTGGCTCCTTTAACCCCATCACAAACATGCATATGCGTTTATTTGAGCTCGCTAGAGATCACCTGCACCAAACAGGTCAGTAAGGTGTTGTTAGGATCACACACACATGGTGGTTTACTGTGAAAAGGAAGAAAGATTTTTAACACTCACTATAGATAAGCTGTCACTTTACAGCTGGCTTAATTTTAATATTATTTTTTGATCATTCAATATGAGGCTTTCTTGGCATATTCAATATAGAAAGTCTAGCATTACCTCTTCCCTTTGGCTCAGTACATAAACAAGTATCATAGTGAGTGTTCATGCAAATAAGTGAAAGTTTTATCAGCAGTTTTAGGATCATATCCATGGAACAGGCTGAGCCTTGTGAAAGAGTATACTTAACAATTTTGAAACTGAGATGAAACATTTCTGTTCGAATTTCATGCTTTTATGATACATTGTGTTTTAATACGAAGAAGTGTTACAGTTAGCAGTTTTGACAGCCGAGTGAAACTGGAGAAAAGATGAAATGTTAATTATTCATTATCCGTCTTCACTAAGAGGTACAAGTTATCTCCCCTAGCAAAATAATTTCCTCATAAAGGAGATCAGCAAAGCTAGATGTCAGCAGGCCAGAAAGTTTTGGCAACAAAGGAGAAAGGTGGGTAACATCAGGAACTTAAGCAAGAATCAGAAGAGCTACTGAGAAGCATTGAACTCTAAGCTTGATCAACTACTCAGTTGCTGAGGCTTTTATTTTTTTTTCCATCTGTCAGCTAAAATATACAGATATGTTCCTGGAAGAGGTTGGAAGGGAATCATAGTTTATTGGAACCTGGCAGAGAAGATCCTAGGGAGGTGATTCAGTAGGAACCTGAATAGAAAATAATAGTAAAAGGAATTTGGCTGTCAGATTGGAGTTGTGCAGTAGAAGTAGCAACTACATGCTTGCCATATACTGTGAGAATACTTTGACTTTCATGCGGAAGAATTACACAACGAACTCTGAGGGCTGCCTCTACAAGTCTCTATTGTCCCGTAACTGTAAAATTATTTTGTTGCTCCCACAAGACTAGAAATAAAGGGTTAAAAAGGGGTATGAATTGGCTTTTCTCACTGTAATTTTATAACTGCTTCTGCTGCCCAGGTGTGCAAGGAGTAGAAAGGTAATGTGAGGGCAATTGCTACTTCTGTTTAAGTCATATGTTACAGTCCAGTAACTTATGGAAGGATTGAACTGGCAAATGAAATATGGTTCTGTCTGAATCACAGTTCATTATCTGGTCTGCTCCAGGGTCTGTGTAACAAGACTCCACCCCTTACTGAGAGCAGTCTACTTAAACAAGTCTAGTGAAAATCATATTAAAAATGAAATTTTGAAAGGCTGAAATGAAAGTTGTGCATTCCATTGCACCTCTCTTAACATCAGTGCTTAGTTCCGGATAGGATGTGTCTTGCCTTTTAACTTCTTAGTTTAATGTGAGGAGTCTTCTAGTATAAAAGTACTTCATGCATTAAAGAAGGGGACTTCATTTGTGTCTGGGTTGCCTACAGTGTCGTCATTGCACTTTCTGAATGCTTAACCCAGGATGTCTGCAAAGCAAGAATCCTCAGTTAGCTTGTGGAAGCTTTACCCATCCCAAGTAGAGGTAGCTTTATTTGAAGTAACTGTAAATGTAGATATATGTGTTTATATGTATGGATACACAAATCTGGTATATGGTGTTTCTTGCTACGGTGAAGACAGTTTCTCAAACGGAAGAGGTTGGCAACATGCTATAAAAATGGTCGATTCTGGATGCCTGTTTTATGGCAGAACCCTTCCCACCCAGGAAATTAATTGGTCATTCTCTCATGTTTTTAGTCCTATTTCCACTTCTGCAGTTACCCAGGGAAGAAGAGAAATTGGGGCTTATTTGCTGAGAAGAAGAACTAGTTGCAGACTGGGAGCTGATAGCGGGGCTGGAGGACAATGGTTATACATGACTAAAGCTTGTTTGAAGTGAGGTAGTGGTCTGCTGTATTCGCACTGATGCCCTTCTCAGTGAGAACACTGCACTTCCGAGCGAACATACACACTGAATGCCTGAAAAGGTAACTAGCATGAGTGAAGAATTAACTAGCATGAGGGGCGATGTTTCCTAGGCTGTGAGAATGACTTAATTCTGGTGCTACTTCAGGATTTCTGCTCAGCCACAAATCATGCAGAAACAATGAGTTGTGCAATGCTTGGCTGGAGTTGATTTCACAGTCAAGTTTTACTGTTACAAACGACATGACTGTCCCTGATGTGCATCCTGACTGACATCTCCAGTAATTCTGTCTGCCAGCTTTTTGCACATCACTTCAGTTTCAAATGCTGTCTAATCTTATTTTTCCTACATCCCTATTTTAAGTTAGGAATTTCATTGAGTTTCTGATGCTTTAAGCAGTATCTGCAGTCTCATTGCCACATGTCAAGTAATTCATCCTTTTTCTGCTAATATCAGTCAACAAATCTTGTCATGCTGCCTTTTAAATACAACAGACATAGCTATGTGTGACTGAATAATGATTCTCTTTATCTGGATTCTGTCTCTACTCATGTGAATTTGGCTCTTTACAGATCCTCACATATAGCTAGAATTTTTTCAGATTCAATCCCTTGTTGTAAAATTGTTTCTTGAAACTTGCACTGACTGTGGCAAATGCTTTTCCAGTCTGTTAATACCTAATGCCAGATGCTTTTATTTTTCTTTGACTGTGTTTCTTATTTGACTATAAAGTCCAAAGAAATAGTACTAGAATCAATCTATGTAAGATGTTGAAAACCTTGTTTCCCAAGTATTGCCAATAGAGGACGCTTACATCACCAAGTTTCCAGATAGGACCAAAAGGGATAGAGGGCAAAGGAGGGGGCTATGAAAGACGGGATGTTTCTGTCTGTGACAAGACAGATGCAAGGGGGAGGTGAAGGACAATGAGTTACTATCTTGGGAAAACTTGGGAAAAATGTGACACAATCAATGGGTTGTGTCAGATGCAGCACTGGGCAGCAGAGCTGAGAAGTCCCAAGTCACTAACCAGCCTTGGGAATCTGGAAGTTTATGTTGTTCAACGGCTGCATCTGATTGAAATGGACTGATATTTTCACGAAAGGGATAGGAACAGATTGTAACAGCAGCAAGTCAGCATAAATGCAGACCAGTTTGTTTTCCTGGAACAATTCTGATAACTGGAATTTGAAAACAGCACAAAAACCCCAGATTGTTCCTACTGTTTTGATAGTGTGTATAGCAATACAGATACATGATTGGAATAGCATCAGATCAGCAGTACTTACTCACTACATATACAATAAATATTGACAGGCATTAGTTAAAATTAACTCAACTTAAAAAATGAAAAGGAAACAAATCTTTGATTTTTTTTTTTTCATTACAAGATTTACAGCAGTCCTTGCTTAAATAGAGCAGTACTTGGTTATTTGTATTACACTTTACCCTTGGAAGATGCATGAAGAGGGATGCATGTGTGGCTTAGCATTCAGAAAGAATTAAAGCTATAGAGTGCACTTTGCAGAGGTGCAAATCAAAGCAGCAAAACCATAAATCTTAAGACACCTCAAGACATACCACATGCCCAAAGAAAACACTTCTGTTACATAAAACTCAGTTTTCTGAATATTGTTATCAGTGCATACAGTTTAGATCCTAACCTTTTTCTGAATTTAAGGAACGCTTTTCAAAGTGGAAGAAGTGTAGGCGTCTTTCTGTTCCACAAGTTTTGTTGTCTTACTCTAAAACCCAGCGGAATAAGGGGTGGATGTCCCCTGCTTGCAGTGGTATTGGGGTTATGGCCTGTATTTGACTTTGGAATCCTAGTCATCTGTTTTGTAGCATCTCTGAAGAGAACCATTGCTTCCCAGTCATGTAACATGGCAAAATCATAGAATCATAGAATGTCCTGAGTTGGAAGGGACCCACAAGGATCATCGAGTCCAACTCCTGTCCCTGCATAGGACAACCCCAAAATTCACACCATATGTCTGAGGGCGTTGTCCAAATGCTTCTTGAATGTTGTCAGGCTTGGCGCCGTGACTACCTCCCGGGGGAGCTTGTTCCAGTGCTCCACCATCCTTTGAGTGAAGAACCTTTTCCTAATGTCCAACCTAAACCTCCCCTGGCATATCTTCCTGTTGTTCCCTCGGGTCCTATCATTGGTCATCAGGGAGAAGAGATCAGCACCTGCCCTTCTTTGTGGCTCTCCTCTGGACACTTTCTAGTAGCTTCATATCCTTTTTATACTGTGGCGCCCAAAACTGCACAGAGTACTCAAGATGAGGCCGCACCAGTGCAGAGTAGAGTGGGACAACCCAACTCCCTCAACCGGCTAGCAATACAGTGCTTGATGCGCCCCAGGACATGGTTGGCGCTCTTGGCCAAGTCAGCTTGGATGAGAGCATTTCAGAATAAGGTGTCTTGTGAGTAGGGCTACAATACTTTATTATTGACATTGCTACTCTCAAGATGGTGGTTTTATCCTTCCTGTCTGGAGGAAATACTCATTTCGTAGCTGTCAAGATACTGCCTTTCCTTCTTTTTGTCCAAATCCAGTGAAGTCTGTAGGAGTGAAGTTGTATTTTGAGGTCTTGATATGAAATGTTTATTATAGATGTGATGTGTGGAGATCATTCAGCATTTATTTGAGGACTGATCATTGTGCATGCTTGGTTACTCAGCTGTTGGAGGAGTTCCTGAAGTCACAATGTATTTGAGTGACTGCCTGGCTACAGAGGTAAATCTGCATCTTCAGGCCGTGTAGTTCACCAGGTGGATATGATTTATGTTTGTCTAGGTGCTCATATGGCATCTGTCACTACAGTTTTTGCACAGCTCATCTAATTCAGTGAACGCATCTTTCAAGCACTCTGAAGTGGTGAAGGTAAAGTCATCCATCCTATGGAGAGCTATCCTAAAAGATTGTCCATTACTGCTCTGATGTATTTGTTGTTTATGTTGACTTTCAATGCAATGATTGCCGAATTGTTTACCCCTTTGATTTTCCTTCTGTTGAATTCTCGCCACAGAAGGTGACTGAACAGGAAGTAAAAAAAGTCTTGACTATTTTCTTTTCCTTTTTCATGCTTGGCAATCTCTACATACGTGTCATGGGAAGGTAAGCATAGGATGGTATCCTTTTGGTATTTAATCTGAACAAAGATGTTAGCTATCCCTCCCTCTGCCCCAGCTAATTATAACCTATAAATAAAATTAACATTTTGGTTTAAATGGAACAATGAAAAATCCTTGTACTTGTTTTCCTAGCGTTAGTAGGCTTAGAGTTCTGGGAGGATAACTGTTGATTTCTTGTGGGTTCAAGGGAAACCATTACTATTACTTAAATACACAATTTTATCATGTGATTTTGATGTATGTGTAGTCACACATAGAAGGCTGATAAAATTAAATAATCCAGTTAACTAACCATATTCGTAAAAGCAAGTGTGTCAGTGAAGAAATGAAAACTTACATTAAGCTCTTGCTGCATCTTAGATGGTTAAAACATGAGATTGTATTGTAACTATTTTACAACATTGTTCACTTTTGATAGCAAGTTTTACATCATTTTATGTTTTGAAATAGCTGCCACTTTCCTCACAAAGGAGGACTCACTCCTCGGCAATCAAAGTGATTTTTATTATTTCTGTATTTGATATTGTGTGTGTACTATGCAGTAAAATTTAAACTGTTCATCAGACTCTGTTTGTCAAATCGTAGATGTGTAGGTAACTTTATGCCCTTAGAACAGCTTTAATGAAGCAGAGAAGGTGCTTATTCCTGGATAAACCTTCTAAAACCCAAACCAAAAATTTGCAATCCTGTGTCCTGAAATTGTTCACACTAATGCACTAATATATAGAAGTAAGACTCTTGTCTACTGCTGAAAAGGAAATGGGGGCAGGCTCCAGAAAAAAAAACATAAAGCCCAGGGAATTTTCTTTGGTTCATGCTCACAGACTTTGGATACATAGGACAGAAACCTTAGATAGACGATAAGCTAAAAACTGTCATCTTGATTAAGGTGTGTGGGGTTTGCGGGGAGGTTTTTTGGTGTTTGTTTTTCAGTGGAGGAGTTTTTTTGGTGTTTGGGTTGGTGGGGGTTTTTTGGTGTTTGGGTTTTTGGGGGGCGTGTTTGGGCTTTGCAGTGGTTTTGGTTTTTTTGGTGTTTGGGTTTTTTTGGTTTGGTGGTCTTGGTTTGGGGTTTTTTGGGGGTTTGGGTTTGGGAGGGGGTGGTGTTTTTTTTTTTTTCCCCCTCTGGATGAGAGCTATATGGTCTTTCGACTAATGTCCATACCTGCAGGAAAGGAAAATTTGTGTATTTAAGTTGGTGTCACATTTAATTGATGTCATAGAAGCTACCAGCAAGTCTAACTCTGGGTTTTTTTCTATTATAAAGTATAAGTTGGGAGAGATGAATACTGGATGGTAAGGAGTTTCATTGTAACCTAGAGATGAGATTGGCATTTGTAATATTTTTATGTAAGCCTACATCAGTGAAACTTCTAAAGCTTTGGAGTTTTAACAGAAAGGTACCAAACTACATTAAAATAAGTGTGTTGGCTCATCTGCTGTTTTCAGTTATACAAAACCATAAAATCTTCCACACAGTAAACTTACAATGAAACATGCATCTTTTGATACTGTCATTACTTATGACTAACGTACATTGCTACTGCCTGTTTATAGTGTCATGCTGTAAATCTAAACTCTTACCTAGAAGATACTACTTGGGGTAATAACTTTGGTGTAAAGAATCAGGCTGGATAAATAGATGTGCCTAATTCTCAGTTGTCACAAAGTGCAAAAGAGGCTTAGGTTTTGTAGGCACTGTTCAGCAG